AAAAAATAATGGCTGGATACGGCCATGGGACTGAGTGACCCAACTTAATTATCAGATATTCTAGTGTACCCTTACTATTTTTTTCAAAAAAGGACACATGGGTCGGTATTTTATTAAATTAAGTTCTTACAAAAATTTAATATTTTTATAAAAAATAAATCATTTACAAAATGTATAAGTAAGATACACCCACAAGTAAATAAATCTATGGTATAAATACAATGAAGTTTTAAATTTTGATACAGCAGAACATGATAAATAATGATAATCAAACATCAACGTCACAATCGTGTACAAATTGCCATTACATAGAACGCATATAGTTTATTTTTTATTTTAATTTGAATATTGGAGATAATTAGGTAGATACTTCAATCTTTAATAGTTTTTAGTTTTTTCAATTTATGTTTTTAAAAACATTTCAAGAATAATGTGCTTGAAAAAGAAGTGGATGGATAGGTAGGTACTGAAATATATGTTGTACATCATAATTTATAGATATTTACTACACCTCAGTACGAGTATACTATATTTATATATTGAAGTTATGGTTCAAAGTTCGAAAATGAATATAATAAGTCATAGAATATTCGTTGATTCGAGAAAACATGTTTAAGGAAGTCATAAGGAAGTTTAAGGAAGTCAAAGTAAACCAGTGGCATTCCTAGATATTTTTTAGGAGAGAGGGCAAACTTCATTAATGTATTCATATTTATGTATTTTCTTAGTTTGATATAAATAATAAAAAAATTAAAATATGAAGAAAAAGAAGGTCATGGAGATAACTGCCCCATTGCCCCTCCCAGGACGCTCTTGGAGTAAACACAGTCATTTTCAGTTTTTAATTAGATATATACGCAAAATCTGTATGTGTCATCAGATTACTTCTACTCATTTTTTTCCCAAGTCAAGCTTTATTATTATTAAGCATTTATAAATTCAAATTGTTGTCAAAATATGAATCTGTATATGAATTATTTACTTTATATAAAATTAAATTTTTATTTTTTAATAGAAATATTCAGAGAGGACGAACAAAAAAGCATTCAATGATTTTTTGGCACCCGCAGTTTATCTGCCCTGATTACGCCATTATCCAGTCCTATTTTTCTCAAGCAACTTCTTGGATCAATAATACACTTTTTATGTATCTCAAAAATTGACTGATACACAACATCCTATGTTTTTAGCAAATATGATTTTTCACCTCCAATTTCCCTGTGAATTGACCTGCCATCTAAAACAATTATTTACCGTATTTACATGATCGTAGCAAAAATCTTAAGAGATTTAAAAGATTATTTGTACTACACATGATTGTTACCTAAAAAAATAAAATAGGTTTTGATAAATTACCTAACAGAAGTTACGTGAGATCTTGCTTGTATTAACTTTATTACAACAACTATTGAGAAACCACGATTTATTACAAGTTCTAGTTTTTAATAATACACTGATTGCTTAAAATATTTAAGGTTTCAATTCACCGAAAATATAATAAATGAATCAAAATAATATTACACTATTTTATAATATAATATTGCAACCAATTTTCCTCAAGTAGTGAAGCGATACTAATAAATTTAGAAAAACCTGTTTTTATCTTTAATTAATATTTTTTATAATTTTATATACAATATTAAAAAAACAACACATAATTCATGCATAACAAACAACTAGTATAACGTGCTTCTTGATAATTTCAACAAATAAAAACGTAAATAACTCACAATCACATTTAATGCGCGTGTTATTGTTTCCGGGGCGCTATTTTGAGCACAGCCAAATTGCAAGAATTTAAAATATTAAAAATATACTTGACAACCCATTGCACACGTTATAGTAGATAGCCCGAATCGTGACAGAAGGGGTAACATTCATTACAAGATTAAATTATGCTGCCCGTGAACAACACTCATAAAGCATCGAATTTGTGTGAAACCCGGTGAATATATTACACTACACTGTGCACACATTTTATTATATTATAATTTGCTGTATATAGATAAGCGTCGGTTTCATTAAGAACTTGGATGTTCAATTATTCATGAGTTAAATATAATAAAAGCTAGATTACATTTTCGTCGTCAATAAAACGTGAGCAACGGAAAACCTGTCAAGGATTCGTGTTTGACGCAAGTACCCGTGGACAATATTTTAATGTACTCCTTTGAAAAGAAAAACTCCCTTTAAACGATCAAGTATACGAGTATCACGTAAAGTATATCACAACCGTGAAAATGATACCATTGAAACAACACTGCGCATCACGATGTTGGTATTTAGAGGAAGCGTGTATCCAGTACCCGGGTATCAAGATGATTTTAACATTATCTATCTCAATTACTAACAAAAAAAAAAAATACACGGTTTTTATTTTAATTAATAATTAATTTCGTTGAAATTGATCGATATTAATGTAACCCGTTGCTGCTGTAGCGGCATTTCGGAAAAAAAAATTTGGTGATCGGAGACAGTAAATAACCGTACATGGATTACGGATGTGCCCATTAATATTCGGTGAACCTTATTCTCAAAATAATACAATAGGTACGTACCAGCTACTTTCAAAGTAAATTGAATTCCACCATGGTCATGTCCAGAAACGTAAGGGAACGCTCCTTACAGTGGGATATTATATTATACACCTGTCTCGAGAAAATGGATAATAAAAAAAGATACCAATATTTGGTTTTGTTTTTATCATTGGTTTTATTACAAAAAAAAAAAAAAAGGTAGTTTTAATTTAATTTATCGATAGATAAGCGAAAATTAATCACGATAACTGCAAAAATTCTACATTCGTATTAAAGTAGTGTTAAAAAGTATTTTATTTTTTTAATTATTACTATTAATATACTGTTATATACATATAATATATTATTACTTTTTAAATATTTTTCAATTATTACGTCCATTGCCACAAGAAATACATATTAGTCTTAAGATGCATTCCGACAGTTTCAAAGGCAAATATAAACATAATGCCACGGTATTATTTAATACAGACGTGTTAGTTTTTAGTTAGTTAAATTGCATTATTAGATAAGTTTTTACACAACGGAAATTAAAATAAGGAACTCAGTATCAAAAATACTTGTAAAATATACTTGAATAAGTGTAAGATATCTATAATAGATATAATAGATATTATATAGGTAAATTTATTTGCCATGCTATAATTTGATTTCAATTTTAAATAATAATTCTTAGAAAACATATACTAGAAAAAAAAAATAGTAAAATAGGAAATTTAAAAAATGAATTTTATTTAAATTAAATTAAAACAAACAAATATATAAATTAAAACCCGTCAAGAAATTAATCTTTCAAAAACTTAAATTGCCCAAGTTTTAAAAATGTTTACTTTTGATAATATATCTTATGTTGTCAAATAATGTTTGAAAAAACTTAACATAATGTTGATTATATAATTATATTACAGTACAGCAAAAATAATAGCAGCAATATTCAATACAATAAATCAATTATTGCAATCAAAAGTTACATTCTCGTATAATACATAGCATGAAATAAAAATTAATACTACACATTCAGGTACAATTTTCAAACAATATTATTAAAAATTGTTTTTGTCACATTAAAAAAGTAAATTATTTAATCAATACAAGGAAATGTAAGCAATATATTATGTTGTTTTTGTATTATAAAGGATAAGGTATGATGCATGATTACTTTCAAATAATATTTCATTGAAAAATAATACATAAATATGAATAGTTTATTTATACCTAAATTTCAAATATTATCACAATAGTATAATATAAAACAAAATTTTATTTAATTTTAAGAGCTTATAAATAATATTATAATTTTCCACTAACCAAAAGCTAGTATCATGCAACTTATTGTCATATTAACTAAAATAACTAAATAAGAAACATTTTTAATGCACATGCTCAAACAAATGATAAACCGCTGTTAATTATAAAATAAAATAATTTTTTGTATAGTATTGTATATTAAAAATTTCATTCTTTATTTTTCTAATTTACACACCTCCAGTTACGATTTTTTCCAACTGGAAAGTTGGAAATCCTGCACAATCCTTAGCAATATATATGCCATATTGTGTGAGATCCTTGACAGCCGGTTCAACTATACGCATGTTATGCATGACATTTTTAGTGTCAACAGCATAATATCCTAAAATGAATCACCATACATTAAGTCAAAAAAAATATTAATAGTTTTTAATGATAAATTATTTGATACTAAGATACAGAAATGTTTCAATAGTACAACACCTTAAATCATATACTAATAAATTTCTTGTAAAACATTAAAATCAGTAAGGCTGTATGACTTTTTATGACTGTATGCATTTAAAAAAAACATAATTTGCTAATAATTTAAATGCTCACCCATTGACATTTTGAAGAATAAATCATACAGAGATTTTGGTGGCAATACTGAGCTACGATTTAATGGCATCACAAAACAGCGTCTTCCATCTACATCGACAATACCAGTGACATTCTAATATAAAATTGATTATTATTAAAAGTCCACTGTAAATTGATAGGTATAATTCTTGATTAAAACATACTGCGCTAAAATCGTGAATAAAACGTGCCGAGTTTGTAAGTGGTAAATTGGGAACAATTTTTTCATAACTATCTTCTTTAAGATCAATTTCAAAATCTTCTTTGAATTCAGAAATAATATCATCATGATTAAAAATTTTATCCATATTCAAAGCAAAATCCTATTTCAAAGACAAAATTTAGTACAATAATAAAATATACATATGAGAATAGTTTATGCTAAAAAATAATTTTATCATTAAAGTACAAATAGATGAATACACTAATATCATAAAAAAAAAAAATGGTTAAATTCATAAATTATAAAAATATTTGAACTTATATTTATATACTCCATATACTTTCATTATTAGTAATTCAGACAATAAAAATGTTTGTTAATTGTCATAAATCTATTTAAAATAATTACAAAAACCAATAATAATTTAAATTTTGAATTAAATACATACTTCAAGATTTTTTAATTCCATTTCATTTAGTGTGTTCATTTCATAGTCATTGTTTAAGTCTTGCATAGGAAGAGCCATGTTATCGTTTAAAGCAATAGTTCCTGTTCCATAGAAAGCATCATTCTATAACAGAAATATACATTTTGTAATAATTTGTAAAGTATTTATTAAAGAAAACATTAACAAACGCAAAAAAAAAAAAATTTAATGTTAATTTTTTTATATTATTGTTCATAGTTATATATACATATGAAAATATAATTTATAATTTAATTATTTAATAAAAAAAAAATATATAATACTTTAATATAAATATTAAAGTTATCAATGTTATAGTAATCATGACTTAATGATATGAATAATTATTTTAATTTAGGTATATTATTATTATTTATTAATGTATTATTTATAAGTGGATCAATATTTATACTTAGTTATAAAATTAATTATTTTGTTTAATTTTTCGCGAAATTAATTTTTTTTTAGCAATATATTTTTTTCAAAAATATATTTTATACTGTAAATTATAATAATTTATTAAAAAAGTAATATAAATTTATATCCTTTAAAAGATAAGGACAAATACAGAAGCAACAATAATGAATATACACATTAAATATAATTTCATCATTATATACAATGTAATATGTACATAACTGAATGTTTACAATCATAGAAATAAATAATTATTTTTTTATTCAACAAATCTATGCAAAAGACCTTGATTATAAATTAAACAAATAAAAATTAAAAATATTTTTTTATCAATTAACTAATCTGAATTAAATTTTAAAACAAAAAATTATAATATATAGTATACCATCAAAAACCTTAAATTTATAAATTTTGAGAGTAAACAATTCTTACTAATGTTCTCTCTACTCACAAAAATCAACTCTCAAATATAGAATTTGTGATGTTAGTTACCTATAGCTAAACAACTGTTGAACAACTGTATAAACATTACAAAATGAATTATTGTTTTTTACTTTTTTATTGTACTACAGATATTATTTTGTTATAATGTGCTAAGGTAAAATATTTTTATAATGTTTGAAAAACATGCCAGAACAAAAATTTTAGTTTAACATTAATTATAAAATTATAAATCTGATATTGTTTAAATTAGGTAAGAAATTTTTAATGAAATGGATTAAATATTATTACATAAAGAAGATTCAAGCAGTTAAAAAAAAGTAATGTTGTAGAAATATGAGGTTTAGTGAAAAATAGAAGTGGTAAAATTATTATGCATCCTATATATATATATATTAATTTTTATAGAATAACGAGAGAAAAGAGAGAAAGGAACTAAAACCAACAGTACTGGTACAGACAGTGCCTAATGGTATGAGTACTTAATAGCAAAAACAAGAACAAAACCTACATTATAATTTAACAATACAAATACATTTGAAATATTAAGTCATGTTATAATTTTAAGAAAATACACTAACAAATGTCAAACAAATAAAACTATTTTATGTTACATCTGATTCTTTTTTTTTTTTTTTTGGTACAATTTAAGCTATACTACTCACATATATAAATATTGACTTTTTAATCTAAGTGTTTTATATTTATTTCCCTTTCTCTCTGATAAATACATGAAGTTCATTAAGTTAAATAGATACTATTAGGTACTAGTAAATAGGTACAATAGGTACATAGTGAAAAAAAAATGAAACAAGCATGAAAATTTACTATAATGCTATAAATTATGATAACAATATCTGGTACTTCGACTAAATTTAACAATTTAACAAATTTAAAAATACTTGACAGTTATCATATTGTAATATATTATATATATATATTTAATTCATCATTTTTAAATTAAGATTTACTCTTATTAGGCTATTCAAATTATTCAAATAAGTAAATTATAAAATAATTTCTTAAATAATATTTTAAAGAGTAAATAAAAACCTATAGTAAATTAAACCAAATAATAAACTGACAATTTATTTTATCTAATTTAAAATTTATAAAGACAGTTTATGCTTTTATTAAGACTTATTTATATATTCATTAATATGAATAACTATCTGAAAATAATAACAATGTACCTAACTGAATTCTTTAAAATTGTATTGTTTTAAAAATAAAACTAATAATAATTAAATCATAATAAAAAAATAAAAATTACTTCATCATTAAAGGCGTTTCCAATAGCTCTATAAATATGTTCTCCATAGAGCATCATACAAATTATGAACATCGACATAAGAAGAATATAAACTAATGCCCACATAGAATATACACGGTCATTAATGACTCTGAACACCAAAAATTTAGATTTGACTGGTAGATCATTTTCAATGTTTCCAGCTTCCAAATCCTTTTCCTGCAAAATAATAAAAATAAATCATATTTTCTTGTACTTAATAGAACATAAATTATGCACTTTAGAGTTATTTTTATTTTTAAAAAAAATTAATGTCCTTGGTATATTTTAAATGCAATAAAATAATGAAGTTACAATAAATGTCCACAGATTGATAATATTACCTTATAATAATTACCCTGTTCTAATTAAATAGATATAATAATACAGGGTAGATTTATTAAAAAAAAAAAAAGCATATGTGTACTAAATATTATTATTTGATTTTTAAATGGTATTCTATGATACTTAAAATAATCTAACATTTTAATAATTTAAGAAGCCTTAGCAATAATTTTATATAATTATAGTAGAAAGGATAGTTAAAAATTAAAACAATACACATTAATAATTTTTAATTTGCTTGTTATCTAATCAATCCAAATTTATTTAATATGATAGTTCAAAGAGTCATGTTCAATATTTTTTTATCAAGTCTTTACCTATGGTAAAATATATATTAGTTAAATATAACAAAATTCTAAAATCTAAATCATTTTTTTAATCACTTAAGCCATTTAAAAAGACATTATTTGAAAAAATAATTAGTTAGAGAATTAAGTACATAAACAAACAATTCAATTTTGTAAATCATTGTCAATCATTTCAATGCCATAAAAAATATTCAATTCAAGTTAAAAAAAGTCATAAAACTAAATAATAGAAAACATAATTTAATTTCCTTTGACCTTCACTTAAGTTTGGTAACCATATTAAATAAAACCACCATATTTTTTTCTATATATCATCAAAATATGAGGGCTCATAAATAATACTCAATAAAATTTAACATGCTATAGATTATGAATTATGACCTTTTTTACTAACCGTTTAAATATGTTTAATATATCCCCGCACATATGTGTATGTATTATATAAACACATATGAGTAATTTTTACTCAATAATAATAAGTCAGTTACAAAAAACAACTGTAATATATGACATGAAATAATTAAAACATTTAAAAAACAATTTGACAACCATACGGATAAAGGATTGGAAATCATCAAGTCACATGTGATACGATAAAGAAAATATGTCCACTCTGACCTTTAAGCATAATCATAAGTCAGACAATTTAATGTCTATGAACAACAATTTGTATTTAACACATTTATAGTAGTTATTTTGAACATCATAGATTTGATGGAATTGCTTTTTTTCACTTCTCAATTTTTTTATAAAAAAAAAAACTATGAAATATGATTTAATTTAATCAATTAGTTCTATAACTGCAATTTAATAAACTGAATTCTCTCTATATTAAATGAATTTATTTGAAGTTTAAATACATTTTACAGTACTTTGAATGTGAATTTAATGTTTTTAAGAGTATTAAATTAACAGACCTAATTATAAATCTACTTTTTCATTTTTAATAATGATAAATATTGAAGTCGGATTTGAAAACAAACTAACACAAATACTGAACTTTATATCAAAAATATATTTTATACTTAAAAGCTAATAATTTCATTTCAAACAAATTACATGTTGTAGTAGATAGGTATTTGTTTAGTAACAAAAAAAAAAAAATTAATGCATGGTAAAGGTACACATAAGCCATACCAACTCAGATCATAAATAATCCTACACACTTATGTGCCCGTAAATTATTTTACTAGTAATGTCTGTAATAAGGTTTATTACATCAGTACTTATGCACAGGAATTTAAAATAATTTATTATCAAGTGATATCAATATAAACATAAACAAAATAAATAATACAAATAACAGAAAACGAAAACAGGTTACTGTTAAACTTATAACCTCTGGTTATAACTTAAAATTAGATAAAGGAGGGGGGGGAATGTGCACCGAAAACAAACGGTTATGCAAGAAATGATTATTCGAGTTGCGATAAGTTTTCGATTCGCCGCTCAGATACCACGGAAATAACGCGCGATAGGAAGTAATTGGTGACATTGGGACGAGACAACGGTAGTTACAATAATGACATGACGTGCAACGATAACGTGTTACCGATCAAGGACCATATTAATGATTACTGATTGCTCGGGAACCTAAACTTTCAACATTATTGCTTTCGTAACCGTGGTTGATGATCGGCTATACGACATGAATTGATTTTGTCACGCGCGCGCGCGCGCGATACGCATCTGAATATACCGGTAACGTAATGCCGTCCGACGCGATTGTCGCGATCAAAATCCCATGATTCTCAAGGTAAGGAGGATCGCGGAACCTTTATGCCGCGACCAACCGAGCCGGTTCGACGACGACATGTACGGCACCACAACACAGCACTCCGGGGCTCGTTGTTGTTGCTTTAGTCGGCGATTTACGTGCCGTTCGCGCACGTACGAGACTTAAAATACATAAGCATAGGGAACAATTACAACGTCGAAAAATTAAAACAATAACGACGTGAAATCGTTACTTTTTTTTCGTAATCGTACGCGTACGGGGGGGGAACGCACGGAACGGCGTGGAATCGGTATAACAATGGTGTTGGCCGAATAATAACACAAGCCCGAAGTGGGAAGGGGGCGAGGACAGTGGAAGGCGTAGAACATTAGCAATGCAATTTATGCGAGTGCGTTTTGCGCGCGTGTATGTGTATCACAGGTGTATAGTGGGCAAGGACAGAGGGGAAAAAAACCCGAAGAGCGTAGCTGACGTTTGGTGACCGTGCACGGACTTACCCGCGAGGATGGATCGACTTCGATGTTGGTCACCAGCGGTACGTTGTCAGACTTCTTCTCCGACGATGGCATGGTAATGACGGTCATCTTGAAGACTAAGCGGAAGGGCGATCGACGGGAAGAGCGTACGGGAAAAGAAAAAAAAATATGACAAAAACGACGTTCCGTTCGATCGAAACGACAACGGCAAAGGTCTGACACGCTCTGACGGATAACGCACTACTGCCGTTCCGTTTTACTGATGTCGCGGCGGCGCTCCGTTGCCTCGTTCCCACTCGCTCACTCGTTCGAGTCGCTGTCGTCGGCACTCGGTAATCAGTTGTGCGCGTGTGCGTTGCCCGCGGACTGCAGACGATAACGGTGCGCGGCTGCGGCGTCGGCGGCGGCGGTACACCTGGTCGTCGCGAGGACTACGGGCGGGTAGCGGTACCGAGTGACGGGCGGCACGGTGCCGCTCGGCGGGGGACCGGTCGTCGGCTATATTGGCACCGCGCGTGGTGGGTGGTCGGGCGGTGAGCGACACTGCACGCGAAGGGTCGACGGGCGGCGAGTGGTCGGCCGGAGGACGCGCGAGGAGTTATTATTATTATCATTATTACAGACACAACTATACCATAACCATTGTTATTATTACTATTATTATTTCTACGAACTGCGCAGTATTATGCGTGTGCAATACAATACGACGACTCGTGGTGGTCGGTGTTATCGGCGGTGCCGAAGACGACACACAATACGATTGTTGTTACGACGTGACACCGTATACGTCCGGCAAAATGGCTCGGCCTCGCTTCGTGTGGTTATTCGAATCGCAGCGGTGGACGACGTCCGATTCGGATAACGTACCGAAACGATTTTGCCGCTGCTCAAATGATTACCCCGTACGAACGCAGCGCCTGATCCAGGCTTTTCGAGACCCTCGGGCGAAATAAAAAAGGTCGAATTCTTCTCCGATAATCATTTCAATATCAATGTAATCATTTCAATTCTATTTATCATTTTTGTCTTTTTTTTTTAAATATTATATTTTGCTTACGTTTATTTAATACGATGAAAGTTGTACTTAAAAAAAAAAAAAAAAGAATAAAAAAGATTCATAATAAAAAATTCATAACAACCATAATGAACTGACTATGGAAAGAGATCAGTGTGTTGTTGCGGAAATAGGCTTAAACGGCTTGTATTTAGTCATACTATATTTATGATCAATGGTCGTACGTATCGTATCAATAAATAATCTGAGGCCCTCTAATAACGGAGACCGCAGACAGTTGCTTATCCTGCTGCCTAATGGTCAACATGGCCCATGTAATCAGTGTGGAACACAAGCTCGTTGATGAGTCATTGCGGTGACAATACAAAGAGCAGAAGTGCGCGCGAATGTTTTGCGACGTACGATTCCGCATCGGCCCGCGTGCCGAAATCAAGTGGGCTGGCGGGTGGGGAGGGGATGGCTTGACGTCGTTACAGTGTAGCAGTGCGCGCGGCTGTCGGGCGGGGAGACGTCAACGGAAAATAGCGACGATGATAAAAAAAAAAAAAAAACAAAAAGCGAATCGCAATACGACCGTTGATGAAAAAAAAAAAAAGGTTGAAAAACAAAAGTGTATCGCAACACGACCGACAATGATATCGGTTGTTTGACGTGTTTTTGTTTCTCTCCCCCTCTCTTCCCGTTACGTTGTGCGGAAACTTTCGCGAACGCTTTGACTCACCGCTCGCGGCGGCGCGCCAGCGCTTTGACTGACATGCGCGCGACCATGATGAGTAGGCTTAAGGACTTCTAGCATTTGCATACTTTTTTTAATTATTGTAAAATATAGCAGAGTGCGAAATAAATTCGTTTCTCGGTGCTGTGATATCAGATATAAAATTTGAATGTGCATATTTTTGCATATTTGATAGATTTTTCAAATTAAAAATTAAAAACTATGTATACATATTTCAACCGATCGGAAAAAAAATGTACTAAGAGGACTTAATGTTTCCAGTAATATGCCATCTGCAAATTACCTCTCAGAAACTCGTTATAATTTTTGTGTAAGTATGAATAATACCTTAAGCCCGACCCACTGGATATCGACCGGATGTCAATAAAGATAATAGTCGATATAGAATAATAGATTATTTGTTTAGTGTTCAGTTCAGTCGATTATTATCAATCGTTCTTTTTGCGTCTCGCAATCACGCAACGTCGAATCATAATACGGTCGTACGCGTATATTTCATAACATTGTATAATGCCGAAAGTACAACAGTCTACGAGTAGCCGACTGCAAAGTTTTATTTCGGAATTTAAAGATATATTTAAATCCGATGGACACGTTTTATATTGTGTACTATGTGGTCATTTTTTTTTTTTTTTTTAATGCATATAAATGCATATTATAATGATTTTAGAAGCATATTTGTGTATTTTTTAGAGCTATAAGTCCCTAAGCCTAAAGATGAGTTATGACAATGATGCGATGTCAGTTCGCCGTGCAGTCATGACGTCCATCGTGTCCGGCGCATGCGTGACACATGGACGTTGGTGTGTACCACCGCCCCCCGGTCGCCCTTGCCCTGTTTCTTCGGATGACTCAGCGACGACTTGCGACGATTGGATCGGTAAGTAAACGCGATTACCGCGCGCGCGTTTTACTCATTTACACCGCGGCTGTTTTTGTCCGTTCGGTTCGTTGTGCAACATTTCGAGACAACGGTCCTTCGATCTTTTCGATGTCGCAACCCCCTAAACGTCACCGACGTTCTGAACGACACTTTTGTCGTGATACCATTAAAAAGCAGTGATAAATCGACATGATTCGTATGATTAATTGGCGATCGGAAATTTATCAATCACAATTCTCAACAATGATTGCCACGACGATGTTTACGAGAAAACCTTACCAATTATTTGATGTACTAGCGACCCCTCGATTTGAAAATCGTTGTTCTAGGAATCGGATCATCAAGAACGCCGTACGATTTGAAAACGAAATGCGCGTTGAAAAAAAAAAACAGTATAATCCATTACATTGTACGTTCAAACAATAATTGCTGCGAGTCGATTTGTCGCGCCGCAGATACAGGTTGTTGTTGTTGCGTACACCATTGCAATACACCGCCGTACAATTCGTCGCACCGATGGTTGCGATCAACTCGCCCAACTGCAAACGTCACGGAGAAAACAGCAAAGCAAACGCTTTCTTTCGAGTTTCGGCGATTATGTTTACACAGTTACAAATTACGCGCGTAATCTACTACACATTACGACGTAGAACTTCTGCCAACGGTTTTTGTTGAAATATTGTTTGTTTTTTTTATTTTTTTTTTTCTACAGCTTAACCAAATTAATGAAAAAACAAAATTAATTCATTTTTAAACGAAAACATGTAATAGATAATCTTTTTTTTTTAAAAAAAAAAACGCAATTGTTATGCAACTTTTCTACGTCTTAATTGAATGATGTTTAAAGCACGTGTACATTATCATACAGTAAGTATATTACATCGTGTACATAAATCCACACACATTGTACTGTACCTGAACAAAATATAATAATCGGATGAAAATAAAACCGTAAAGATTTTGGGTAAGATACGACCACATACTCAAGGTGGGTGGTCTATCGGGACGGGCAGGTGTCTTTAAATTCTAGAACACGATAACTCAGCGCATTCAATAAAAGATTTAACTCGTGCAGGTTTACTATATACAATATACCATTGATTTCAAAAGAGTTTTGAGGTACTTTAGATGTACAAAGATTACAATTCGCCCTAAATCTAAAATTATATATTTTGTCACAGTAAATAAAATATAAATGGAAATTTCACAAAATTAATAAAATCGCGTCGCATGCAATACACGGTATACAGAACTATAGAACTAAAATACCGTGAAATAAAAATATAAAAACGGAGCCAAGAAATGTTCGTACGTGATATTTAGAACAATGAAAATAAATTGTTTTCGAAATTAAAATTAACAATTTACTGTTTTGTATCTAATTTATACTCTTCATAATTTGTAAAAATAAGCATTTAAAGCAGTTTTTCCCACTTTGGAGTGTAAACATATAACTGGAGAAGGAGAGGGCAAGAAGTTGAGCGCACATGTTTTCGCTCAAAATCAATCTTTTGATTTTAGCCCAAATGATCTTTTTTCCCCAAACTCAAAAAAGAGTGATTTGGTTTTCGCCTAAAGAAATATTATTTATCGTAAACGAAAAAAAACATTTTGGTTAACACTATATTGTATTTTTTTTATTGAAAATGCTATTTCATTTTTTAGTTGATAAATTTTAATGTAAATATATACCTAAGTGTAAAATATATTAAAAAAAGAGTCGTTTAATAATAAAAAAAAAAAATTATTTGTCAAAGTCAAATTTTATAAATTCATACAGTGTGAGTTGATTAGAATTGTATTGTGTGATTTTAAATTGATTTGTTTCTTGTCGTTTAACTACTGAGTATTTTTTTGCCAGTGTCAAAACATTTGCGCTATTCATTTTAATGTAAATTTTGGCTTGGACTTCATTCAAAATGATATCCAATAATGGCATGATAGACTGTGATTAAATTGTTATTAAAGCGCGAATGAAATGATTCGTATGTATTCGTTGTTAGTCTAAGACCAAGACTGGAAGAGTTACATTTCCATATTTAATATAATTATATTTTTTAATATAATAACATTTTTAAATTTGTATCACATGAAAAAATAACAATATTTTTTATTTGATCATTAAGAACTAAATTTGTTAACTTTTACTAGTTACATCTGTATTTTTTAAAGCTAAATGAGCTTCAATAATATTTTTAGAAATTGCAGTCAGAACTTTTCTATGACAGTCACATATAAAATTTTTAACTGTATTCATATCGTCATTGGTGAAGTTATCCATAAAAGAACTATTTTGTTTTAACTCTTTTAGTATTGTTTTTTTTTTTTTTGATAGTTATGGACATCATCATCTATAACTTTATGTCTACATACTATACTTACAATTTGTCTATTAATTTCATTTTAATTTGATGGTTCGTGGTCGTGTTAAATGGAATCTCGTGCACTCGTTACTATTTCATCAATTGTGTATATTTGCTGTACGATTACGTTTAACACAACGCCAACGAATTGAGCCAGTTGTAATATTTACCGAACCAAAATTATACTTGTAATTATTAAAAGCAATCATTTTTTTTTCTCTTACTTTCTAAAAAGACAGCCATTTTAACTTTTAAGCAAAATATATTCAAATTAATTGTAACTCGATTATACAGGATGGGGAACCGAAACGCCCGTTTTTAATAGATTTTCTCAGCAGTAATTAAGACGAGAATTTTCATTAAATATTAGTTTAGAGAAAACATGCCAATTAGTAAACGTAGAACAGTGGAGTGGTGGACAACGTGCTTATGCAATAAAATTATTTTACACAAATAATGACAGTTCGTAGCCGCACAGCGTTCATGTTGTCTTCATTTTAATCTTAAACGCCATAATTCGTAACCATTGGCTAGGGTTATCAATATTTTGAATAATTAACAGAAAAAAAAATGTATTTAAAAAAAACGGAGTTCGCATTAAAAAAATTCTGTACGAAAAAAGACCATTCGTACATCTGAAAATATCGCTGCTATTGTTAAGGCGGTTTTCATAAAGATTTACACAAAAACATGTGTTATCGTTAAATTTATCCAGTAGAAGTCTGTGACGGATTTTACACAACAACTTAAATGTTCACTCGTATAAGGTGCAGGTGGTTCAAGGTTTATAACTTGTAGACCTCTATAGCCACATTACTTTTTGTCGAGAAATCCTAACCCGAAATAACTAACTAAACACGAAAAATGTGTGAACACCGTGTATTGGAAAATATACCAAGTAGACTAGAATAGTGCTCAAAAAGATATGGCCATCATTTTGAGGACATAATGTTTAAAAATAAAATAACATAAGTGTCATAGTGCCATAATTTAATAGCATAAGTTATGTTTTTCGTTGTAATAAATAATGATTATTTTTTATTCATTTTATTATTTTATAATTCATCTTTGGAAATCGACCGTTTTACTGCCCCACCTTGTATTTTTCAAACTTATCTGATATATCAGTGTGACTGCAGTATATTTAATTTTATCTCGAATTATATCCGTACATTCATCAAAATTTTCAATTATAATCCTATCTGATTTATGACGCGATTGCAGAATCTTGAATTTCCTATATAAGCTAAAATTTGAAGTCTAAAAATACATATAATATTTTTTTATTAGTAAATAAAATGACAATGTTTTAAACATTTTTTTCACAAATTTGTACCTATAGCTAGTTTGAAGGTAGTTGTAACTATAAATTGAATTATAATATTTTAAATTATATGTACATTTTTTAACAATTTTGTTTAATTAACTTATAAAATATTTTCAAATCTTTAAATATTGAATACGAATTTAATAAAATGATTAGAGAAAAAAATTTATTCGTATTTTATGTTCCAAATAAAACAAAGAATATATTGGGAATACGGTTTTACCATAAACCATGATAGGTTTTTTTGTGTAACATAATTTAGACCAGACGGATTATTATAATTTTCAACTTGTTTTTTGTTATTAATAGCATATTTTGTCTAGTTTGTGGAGGGTGTTTTATAAATTTATCATCCGAAGTCCAATTAATTAAGAAAAACTAATGAAAAATAACAAAAAAAAAAAAAAACGGCAAAATATATGGAATACTGCAGGTTTTCAAAACAATCGAATATTTTTTTCATTATAACTCAAAAAATAACAATTATAGAGACTAAACAATTTATAACTGAGAATGTTCGATGTCTTTGTTTAGAGACTTGCAATTTGAATTCTGCTTTTTAATTAGTTTTTATTACATGAAAATACTCATTTTTATAATCTTCGAATTTTTTTAACTTAATTAGACACGCCTATGCGCATTACACCTTCTTTTTACTTAAATGCCAACCACCTATTTTTACCACTAATTATTTTTCACCTAATTTTAATGAATTTTGATAGCTTATCCAACTTCTTAAGTCCAAAATTAACTAGGTTATAGCAATTTAAAAAAAAACAATGGTGAAATTCAAAGGATTTTTAGTATTTTTACCGTAATTCTGTAAATAATTGTTCCAGTGTTATTCACCCTTGATATCTTTACTCCTATTCATTAAGGCTGTATTAAAATTATCATTATTTTTACTACTCTTAATTTTCGCTTAAATTTATGAAAGAATTACTTCTAGTATAAAAACCGTAAATTAGTACGTTGTTTATTTCGCTATATTAAATGGATTGCCCTTTTCTAATTTAAAATCTTCTTGTAAAATGATCAAATATTTTTTTAAAGGTTCTAGGCCATATCGGTGATTAGCTATTTTAATGACATACTATTATAAACTATTATTTTACCTCGAAATCATCAATACCCGTGTGTAAACGAACTGGACACCTATCTTCATACTAACATTGCCAAAATCATAAAGTATCGTCAGCATAAATTTTATTCAAAAAATACGTTAACATATACCATCATATGAAAAAGTTTCTCTATCTTTATTTGTCTTAAGATTTTATTACATAAGATTATGTTTAAAATTGGATACAACATTTTGAAATAAAAAGTTCAAAAGTTGACATTTCGAACATATAATAATCAAATTGTAATAATCGATAATATTCGATGGTTCAAGATTTATTTTAATACAAATATATACACGACCATTTGCCGAATCACCAATTCGGTAAATCGCCTAAATGCCATATCGCCATTAAAAGGTTTATCGTCGAAACGGCATTGCTAAAATGACATAGCCGAACGGCCCCATTCCCTCTTTTAAGTATAGTAAAATTATAGCCAGGTTCTATTATTTTAAAATAATTAAACCAATATACGTACCTATAAAATTTAATTTGAAAAAAAATGAAACTTCTAGGTCGGATAAATACAAGAATAGGTGATTGCAGGCTCGTACTGGCTGCTATTATAGAGCTGTTTAAAAAAGCATTTAAGGGCGCCTTAATTTTTGTTATTTAATTTTTAAAGTTAAGGTCTAGTATATTGCATATTAAAGAATCTCAATTTTTTTAGCTTCTTCATAGGTACTAAAAATATATAAAGTAATAAATTAAACTTAAGATTGATATATATATATATATATATATAAATCTTTGATTAATACTATTATAATTGTGCTTTTACATAATATTAAAATTATAAATTCAGAAAAAAAAGTTTTTATAGTTTAGAGTGAAAGAAATCACTCTGTACACAGACAGAAAACATTAAAACACGCATCAT